CCGTCCCCGTTGGCAACACTCTTGAATAACAATTAAAAAGAAATCCCCATCAGTTCTCTAAACTCAAATAAGCATGACAAAATTTGTGACTATCATGTCCAGTTTCGCTGCTGTTAAATAAGCCGAGAGTGAAGCGGAATTAGCCAGTAATAATAATTACGTTACGTTGTTACAGTGTAGTTGACTGACTGTCCTTTAAACGTTTAACAATGTGATTGAAGTATTTCTTTAATAGCGCGTGACAGTTATAGCAATGAGACGCATCATCTCTCCTTGGCCTGTTATTTTGAAAATGTTATCCATTGCTAAATTATGGCTCATCATAGACTAGCTAACCATAAAGCTAGCTAATGCCACTATCATCAGTCTGTTCTGATGTGACAATAAAAGAAACAAGTTTCTTTTTAAAATGCATTATCATATTATTTTAGTTCAAACTCGTAAATTACTACAAATAACTAATGTTAGGGAAATCTGTTAATGTTTTGCGCGTTTCTGAAAAAAAAAAATATATATCGGCCGATATATCGGATTTTAAAACCAAAAAATATTTGTATCGTATCGGCCTTCAAAATTCTTTATTGGTCGGGCTCCAAACGCCTTTTTTATTTGGCTGTGAAGTGTGTTTTATTTCTCACAACCACTTGAGTACATAAGATGTACAGTAAAATGCTCTTGAAGCAGGTTTTTAAGTGTATGAACCTTAAAAGTGGACGCTAATGATTAGCGATGTATATGGAGATGGAATAAAGACACATTTTATGACGTTGAATTAAATCCCAGTACTGCCCTTGTGTTGCACAGCATACTCTAAAGTACGTACTTCCCATCAGCAGTGAAGTACTTTCGATGCGTAGGTGAAGTATGTGAATTGAGATTCAGCCAGTGACTTTTTTTCAAGGCTGATAAATGTCACGAAGACTGTCCTCTAAAGCTCTGCTCATATATTTCCGGATTGACAGTCTGATTTCTCAGGTGGTTTACGAAGAGGGAATTTTTTCCACTTGTCTCTGGGAGTTTAATGATGTGGTGTGGAAATATCAGGCGTAGAGGTGCAGGCTGCCAGCAGTGAGGTTTCTGAACGTCTTCCCTCGAAACACACACACACACACACACACCATCTCCCCTCGCCGTCCCCACCGCCGTCTGAACAGGAAGTTGATAAGAGCGTGTGCTAAAGGGGGCAGATTTTCAGGCTGTGGACTGACTGACACTTAATAAAGGCAGCGTTCAGTCGCTCAATTGAAAGCAGGTGGGCTGTGCGTCTGATGTTTATCGTGTCCAGTTCTCTTGGACCGTCCCACTGAGAGAGCCCAGATTGACCCCGTTTATCGCTATCTGTAGCATTCAAAGACGTCGTGAAATCCCAAATGAGTTTTATTGAGCTTATTGTGCCCGATTCATAACTCAACCCACCATTTTGCTGCAAAGAATATGCGATTTCCAACATCGGCTGATCACGTCACTGCTCATTTGCATAAAGCCGAGCTCTTGAGAAGTTCAATGCAAATGCGGTGATGTTATCCGGGGACAGGTGTCTATGTGAACGAGGTTTAAATAAACTGCTTTTTCAGCTGATATAACTAAGGCAATCTATGCCTCGAATATAATTATATTCTGCTCTAATTTGTTGCAATCAAATCGCAGTTAATACATTCAGGTTCAACCCTGCTTTATTCACCGCTTGTATTAATGTAGAGTAGTGGTCATCATCACCCTTTTTTTAAATATTATTTAAAATGCCTTAAAGGAGTAGTTCACTTTTAAAAAAGCTTTTGCTGATAATTTACTTACCCCCATGTCATCCAAGATGTCCATGTCTTTCTTTCTTCAGTCGAAAACAAATTGGTTTTTGATGAAACATTCCAGAATTTTCTCCATATAATGGACTTTAATGGGGACCAAATGGTTCAAGGTCCAAATGAGTTTCAGTGCAAACTGTTCAAAGGGCTTTAAACGACATCAGACGATGAATAAGCGCCTTATCTAGCGAAACGATCGGTCATTTAAAAAATAAATAAAGTTTTATAAGCACAAATGGTCGCCTTGTTCTGTTCTGTGATGCGTGTTCGTGACTCTCCTGTTCAAACTCGTTCATCAAAATGAACAAATCTTTTTTCGAGTCATGTCTCGAAGGGTCCTAGATAAGACCTTTATTCATCGTCTGGTGTCGTTTAAAGCCCTTTGAAGCTGCACTGAAACTCTCATTTGGACCTTGAACCGTTTGGTTCCCATTGAAGTCCATTATATGGAGAAAATCCTGGAATGTTTTCATCAAAAAACCTTAAAGGAGTAGTTCACTTTTGAAAAACTTTTGCTGATAATTTACTCACCCCCATGTCATCCAAGATGTCCACGTCATTCATTCTTCAGTCGAAAAGAAATTAAGGTTTTTGATGAAAACATTCCAGGATTTTCTCCATATAATGGACTTCAATGGGGTCCAAAGAGTTGAAGGTCCAAAAGAGATTTTCAGTACAAACTACAAACCGTTCAAAGGCCTTTAAACGATTCCAGACGATGAATAAGGGTCATATCAAGCAAAACGATCACTCATTTAATAAATAAATAACAAATATTAAGTTTTATAAGCTCAAATGTTTGCCTTGCTCTGTTCTGTGATGTGCGTTTGTGACTCTCCTGTTCGAACTCGTTCATCAAAATGAACAAATCTTTTTCCGAGTCATTTGGTTCATTCAACGAACGGAACGAATGAATTGAATAGTTTGCACTGAAACTCTCATTTGGACCTTGAACCGTTTGGACCCCATTGAAGTCCATTATATGGAGAAAATCCTGTAATGTTTTCATCAAAAACCTTAATTTCTTTTCAACTGAAGAAAGAAAGACGTGGACATCTTGGATGACATGGGGGTGAGTAAATTATCAGCAAAAGTTTTTTCAAAAGTAAACTATTCCTTTAACTTAAAACATTTGGGTACCATGCAAATTGTCAAGATGGGACACTCAAACAAGTCTCAGTGCTAGAAGCACTTTAATGCTCCCTCCTTTTTTCATCTTTGAAACTGTGTGAAGATCCAGTGACGATCTGTAACGCCTCCGCAGAGGAAGTATCAGATTAGCAAGTCTTTGCTTCTGTCGCTCTTTTTTTTCCGTCTTGGCACTGATTCCTTCAAACTGGCAAGGATGCCAATCGTGCCAGACAACACAAGCACTTCACCCGGCCAGACACTGAGATTACAGTGAATGCGTCTCGTAGACATTTAGATTAAATTACGATCAGAATGTCAGCCAATCAGCCGCGAGCCTTTGAAGATGAGTGGGCGTGGCCTGCGCAGCTGCTGTCGGCTGTGTGTGAAAGCGTGACAGTTCTGCCCACTCGGACCTAATTGGATATGGTAGGGGTGTTTTTATTGAAATCACTCACAGGTGTAGGCCTCGCTTTAAAGTGGCGCTCGCAAGCTCTGAGAACTTTCAGCTGTCTGCCGTTACCAGTGTGTGTGTGTTTGTGTGTGTGTGTGTGTGTGTGTGTGCGTCCTTCCCAGACAAAGAAATCTCTATTTTCAGACCAAAGCTCTGTTTGGTTTATTAGCCAGCAGTCCTAGTTGTGTGACGTTCTTGTGGCGTACTGTAAAGTGGGCGGGTTAGTGAGCTTGAGTATAGAGAGAGTTCAATATGGACGGGTGTGTTTCTGCACCTGCAGGACTGACGCTGTGTTTAACCCCGTGACTCAAGCAGGAAGAGAGAATAGCAGAACTGGTTAGTGTGAGACGAGACTAGCAAAATAAGTCTACTCGGGGTGGGAAATAACTGATGGTACAATGATATATAGATATCTGGATCCCAATATATTGTGAAGTTATTCAAAACTCTGCTTCACTGCTTTGCACAATTATATATTTTGTTGTATTATATTTGCTAATGTATTTTAATTATAAAACGTCATTTTATATTCGCCTACAATTCTTCCCTATTTCCGTTTTATTTTCTTTAATTGTGATTAATGGATCGATGGAAAGAAATAATACAATTCTATATTGTATTATGTTTAATATAATTTTTATATATTGTGTTTTATTATATTTGCTTGCAATTCTGAACCTGGAAATTTGTATGTTGTATTATTGTATTATTGTTGAATTAAATTGTATTATTATTATTATTATTAGGGCTGGGCATTCAAAATAAAAGTTTGTGTTTAAATAATATATCTGTCTGTAGTGTGTATCTATATATTTAAGAAAAATGTCTTGTTAATATATCAAATATTTATATATAATATTAATTATGTATAAATATATATATATATATATATATATATATATATAAGTATATACATGCAAATATATATATATATATTTTTATGTTTATTTATATATTCAAAATAGTTATACACACCACACACACATATATTATATAACCAAACTTTTATTTTGGATGCGATTAATCGTTGTCCAGCCCTAATTATTATTTAATTAGTATATGTATATAATATATGTAATAGTTATAGTAATAATAATAGTAATAGTAATTTAATATAATTATATTTTTATATTTGTGTTTGATCCTGTACTCTTTCTAGATCACTAATCACATATATTTGTTGTTGGGTTATATTAAACTTTTCTTCAGTTTTTTATAAATATTTATTTTTTTATAAATAATTAAATGATTTTGTTTTTATTATTATTTTTAATGTTTAATATTATAATTATACATCTTTTTTCTATCATATTAATGTAATGTTTTTTATGTGTATGTATATATATAGCTTATGAATATCTTATGACGATTTGAACAATCCAAGATTTTCAATGTCATAATATTAATATGTGATTGTCAAACGCTTTTGGAGATATTAGTCTTTCTCCATCGATGCAGACGGGAGCTTTACAGGAAATATCTGTATATCATTTTGACTTGCTTTAATAGTATCAAATCTATTTCTGCAGGTATTAGAGCAACGTAAAATATCTCCTGGTGTTGATCTGGTAGTTCTAGACTCAATGATTTTTACCACTTTCTCTGTCTATTCACAGGACATCCGAAACACAGTGGGCAACATCCCTATGGAGTGGTACAAGGACTATCCCCACGTCGGATATAACCTGGACGGCAAGAAGATCTTTAAGCCAATCAGGAACAAAGATGAACTGGATGAGTTTCTCGACAAGATGGAGAACCCCGATTACTGGTGAGGAGCGTCCCGAACATTAATGTCAAGTCATTCACCCTCTAGGATTGGTCATTCACTCATTCTCCTGTCATTACTAGGCGTACAGTCCAAGACAAGATGACCGGCGCTGATATCCGTCTGTCGGATGAGCAGGTGGACCTCGTGCACCGTCTGCAGGAGGGCAAGTTCGGTGACGTCAACTTCAACGAATACGAGGTATTTCGTTCTGGTTTTCCGCTCTGTTGGTGTTGGATTCGACGCAGTAACCGAATTTGTCACCTCAACATCTGCAGTCTGGTCTGTGTAAACCTTTAAACGGCTTCTAGATAATAACCCCAGCGCACGATGGGGAAAAAATGAACCTCGTCGGATTACTCATTTACGAAAGCCACACAAAGCCCAGCCCAGACAAATGAAGTAGCGAAACATTTACACAAGCACAATTATCCGTCATGAGGAAAACAGCGCGGCCCGTCTGACCTGTGCAGGAGGGAACGTGTCACGGCCGTCGTTTAGCGGCTTCCCTTTACGAGCATCAGTGCTAATTGTGCATCGCCGTCTCTTCTGGCACAAACAGGAAGTGAGTCACCCCAGATTTGGGTCTGTCTGTGATCAGTTAGTCGACCTCAGACGGGCTTTAAAGACTGCGAGTGTGAAAAAGCCACCTGTCATCTGACTGGGTCTTGTTCCAGATGTTCTCATTTTCAATTTAATTAAACAGAATACAAATTGTTTGGTTGTGTTCGGTGTGTGTGTGTGTATATATTTATAATTTATTTATTTATAATTCATCTTAGGACAAGCTAGACTACCAAGTACTGCGCAACTAATTCATCTAATGTTTTTTTTATCTTCAAAATCTTTTTTAGGCTAATGAAGCCTATAGTCTATAACTGACTCCCATGGTTTACAGCATTAGTTAAAGGAGTGTTTCACTTAAAAAAAACTTTTGCTGATAATTTACTCACCCCCATGTCATCCAAGATGTCCATGTCTTTCTTTCTTCAGTGGAAAAGAAATTAAGGTTTTTGATGAAAACATTCCAGGATTTTCTCCATATAATGGACTTCATTGGGGACCAAACGGTTCAAGGTCCATATGAGAGTTTCAGTGCAAACTGTTCAAAGGGCTTTAAATGACGATGAATAAGGGTCTTATCAAGCGAAATGATCGCTCATTAAAAAAAAAAAGTTTAATTTTTGAACAAAATGAACAAATCTTTTTTGTGTCATTTGGTTCATTCAACGAACGAAATGAACAAGTTGACTCTGGAAAAGATTTGTTCATTTTGATGAACGAGTTCGAAAAGGAGAGTCACGAACGCTCATCACAGAACAGAGCAAGGCGACCATTTGTGCTTATAAAACTTAAACTTTGTTATTATTTATTAAATGAGCGATCGTTTCACTTGATAAGACCCTTATTCATCATCTGGAATCGTTTAAAGCCCTTTGAACAGTTTGCACTGAAACTGTCTTTTGGTTCCCATTGAAGTCCATTATATGCAGAAAAATCCTGGAATGTTTTCATCAAAAACCTTAATTTCTGAAGAAAGAATGACGTGGACATCTTGGATGACATGGGGGTGAGTAAATTATCAGCAAAATTTTTTTTTTTTTTTTTTTTTTTAAGTGAACTACTCCTTTTAAGAGATTTGTTTTCCTTGAAAAAAATTTGCCATGATTGTACCTGACATCCAAAATAATCAATATCGGATCGAATTGCAAGCTTTTGAATCGAAATCGAATCGAATTGTGAAATTTGTGTCAATACTCAGCCCTACCTCTCCCAACCCACATTGATTTTTAGTCGATTTCTAGTCAAAATTTCAGGACTTCAGTCGACCAAGGTTTTCTTAGGTTGATTACGGTCCTAGTTTCGGCTCTGTTGTGCGAGGAATCATCCGCCGTGGTTTTGTCATTCATCTCGCCTTACTTTCGTCAAGTGTGTGCGCTCTATTATACATACTAGCAAATTGCTCTGTGCACCCTTTTATTTATAGAAATGTCAAAAAGCCTAAAAGACCAAAGAAAAATCAAGTTGTCTTGTGGTCTTTTAGTATGCTGTGTTAAGGTGCAGTTTGCACAGGACGGGTTCCTGTTCTCCATCTGAGCTTCAAATAACTTTTAATTTCCTTTTTTTAAGTGTAAAACATTGGTTACCTCACCTTTAAACACCCTTGGGATAATATTGATGTTTTTTTTTACTTTGCCTTAATGCTCTCCTCTTTCTCATTCGTAATGTTGTGTTTGTTTCTCTAGCCCGCGGTCGACTTCTTCTCCAACGAAGTGATGATTCACCCCGTCACCAACAGGCCTCAGGACAAGCGGAGCTTTATTCCGTCGCTTATCGAGAAAGAGAAGGTAAGATTGGCCGCCCCGTCACACCGTGAAAGCGTATATTTACTGTGAAAGGGAAACGGCATGAGAACAGTCATGTTTCGTCTGCTAACTGCTCCCAGCTGTGCTGCGTTACCAATAATGATTCCCACATAGTTTTTAAAGTGAAACGCCGGCATAATGGGGGTCTGAAATTGGACATCAAACCTGCAAACGTTTCGGTAAAAATAAGATTCCCTCTTTAGATATTCCGGTCACTAATATAACGCGTTTCCTGCAGTAAACCAGTGAAAACTGGCGACGTGTGCAACGAGTGTTTTGAGTAATGATCGTACACATGTGCTCTCAATCACCACAATGATGTGTTAGTGTGTGTGTGTGTGTGTGTGTTTTTCTCTCTACTGTACCGTCACTGCATCCATCTCTCTCTGTTAGGTCAGTAAGTTGGTCCATGCCATAAAGATGGGTTGGATCAAGCCACGCAGACCCAAGGAAACCACACCGCAGTACTACGACCTGTGGGCCAAGGAGGACCCCAACAGCATCCTGGGACGCCACAAAATGCACGTCCCAGCGCCCAAGATGAAGCTTCCTGGGCACGAGGAGTCATACAATCCTCCCCCAGAATACCTTATGACGGAGGAAGAGGTGCGTTCACCTAAATATGACACATCTGTTGTCCACGGTGCTTTTTCTTACAGCAACTATTTTAAAAAATGGACCTGGTGCAACATTTTCAGATAATAACTGCATTTTTTTTAATCGATAAATCTATTATTAATAATAATATTTTATATCCCTTTCTTAATCTTGTTATAGTGTATAGATTATTTTTCTTGCGTTACATGTAGGATTTAATTTAAATATGGTCATTTTATAACCAAAATATATTTATAGATGAAAATATAGATTTTTAAAAACAAATTAAATAAATATATTTATTAATATTGATATTTTCCAATTACATTATTTGTAAAATTCAAATATGTATCTTTTTAATGCTCAGTTTTAAGTTTGATTTAATAAATTTAACACTTCAGAAAAAACATTTAATTAAAATATATTATAGATAAAAAAAGGATTATTTTTTTTATTTATTATTATTATAGATAATATTACATGTCTCTATTTACATGTAATATTAAAATGTATTAATGTATTACATTATTACCTATTAATATTATTACATTTATGCATAATTTAATGCCAAAGAAAAAATATATGTTAGATAAAAAATAATGTTGACTACATCAATTTCATATGTAGAATTTTATAATTAAATTAAAATATTACATTAATATGTGCATAAAATATTACATAAAATATGTGCATTAACTCGCTTTGTGAAGTGAGACTGCCTTTCAGAGTCTTTATGCAAAATGGAAATACATTCATTTATAATGCATATAAAAATATAAATGTAAATTACGTACTAGGGGAAAAACCTCTCTTATTAAACGCATAAAAGAGAAGATAATCAATGAATAACGACTTAAAATTCAGTCTTTTCTTCACACAAACTTATCATATGATAAAAAAATAGATGGATTGAACCCTTTTCTGGCTAAATGCCAAGATCATTTCACACCTGTGTCTCCAACTCCATCTCCATTAGGCCTGTAAAATTTGCCTATAAGTCATTTGCGTGTGTTTTACATGCTATACTTATCTCCGGGGAACACGTGCATCCCCTCTGCAAGTTAATCTCTATATACAACCAAATTTTGACCCCAATTTTGCCTGCACCTGTTCTTTAGTCCAGCTTTTGTCAGAGCTGTCCTAACGTTTGTTGTGTGTTGTGTGTGTTTGCTCAGAGATTGGCATGGGAGCAGCAGGACCCCGAGGACAGGAAGTTGAGTTTTCTGCCGCAGAAGTTCGCCTGCCTGCGGGCCGTTCCCGCGTACTCGCGCTTCATTCACGAGCGCTTCGAGCGCTGCCTCGACCTGTACCTGTGTCCCCGTCAGCGCAAGATGAGGGTGAGACGCCTCGACATCCCGTCCCGGACAAATAAACTCCACAGATGAAATCACCGTATTCAGTCATAGTTCATCTTAGATGATGTCAGTGTCTGAATTTTGTTGATGTGGAAAAAAAAATTCAAGAACAATTATGCATTTTTTATAAATCAAAAAATATATGAATTACTTATACTGTTAAAAAGTTTGGTATCAGTATTTTTTTGGGGGGGAAATTAGTACTTTTAGCTTACCATCACAGAAGTAAATTACATTTATATGCACATAGAAAAGTTTATTTAAATTGTAATGTCTCACAATATACTGTTTTTAATCAAATAAATGCACTTTCAAAAACTAAAGTATCTTGGGAAAATATGGACCCCAAAAATTTAATCAGCAGTGTAAATTATATTTAAAAAAAAAAATATATATATATATATATATATATATATATATAATTTTAATATATATATATATGTATATATATATTATTATTATTATTATTAATATGTTATATATTTAGTTATCTATATAAAGTTAAATAATTGAATAATATAAAATACTTTTACATAAAATTTTTATTTAGTTTTATGACATGATCTATATTAATTAATATATATTTATAATAAGATTTATTATAAATTATCAGAAATATTAAAAAAAAGATCACTTGTCCATGTTAAAGTTTTTTTTTGTGATCACTTGTAAACAAAAATTACTTTAAATTTGTACTTTTTTCATTACTTTTCATCAAAAAGTAATACATTTCTTCCTTTCCAAAATGAGTTTTTTATTTATACATTTATTTATTAAAGAAATTAAAGGTGTTGACCTTAACATTTAACAATTATATTGACGTGATAATTATTCTCTTATTAATTAATCTTGAATTTCAAGCATTAAATGTATTGGGTTTTTTTTGTTGTTGTTTTTTTGTTTTCAAATTTGTCTTTTAACGACAATATTGACCTGTTTTTTGTTTATTTATTTCTTTGTCCAGGTGAATGTGAACCCAGAAGACCTGATTCCCAAACTTCCCAAACCCAAAGACCTGCAGCCCTTCCCGACCACACAGTCTCTGGTACGTCAGTGTCGAGCTGGACTGGGATCAGTTTAACAGCCGGATCCTGATGATGCCAGCTTGTAGATCAGAAACTTGTGATATTTCTGGACTAGACTTTATAATGGCAGGACAGTGAGCTTTGATTTTATGTAGACAGGAAACTGTATTACTTCTGTACCGCGTGGGTGAAAAAGATCAGAAGATGAATATTTTTGTTATTGAAACCTTAGCGTTTTCAGACAGCCGTGGCTGTAAAACTGCAGACATGAAGCGGGGTTTGTCATTCTTTTGGACTGGATTATAGAAGAACAAAAAAAAGTAATAAATCACCCAAATCTGTTTGCTGGTAATGGGGCTAATGTGAAATAATAGAGTCCTGAACGTGTCCTGGAATGATCTTGACCTGTCTGCTTTCCTTCTCTGACGTGTGTGTGTGTTTGTGTGTGTTTGACAGGTGTACCGTGGTCACACTAGTCTGGTCCGAAGCATCAGCGTTTCCCCCAGTGGACAGTGGCTTGTATCCGGTGAGTCTGAAACTGTGATTATCAGAAGACACTGCATGTGCTCAGACGTGGTGCTTGATTGGTCTATACAGGTTGCAGTTTGGCTTGCAATTTTCTCATCCTCATCTCCATCTCTCCTCCCTTCGATCTCCTTGTCCTTTATGTGTGTATGTGCGTGTGTGTGTGTGTGTGTGTGTGTGTATATATATATATATATATATATATATATATATATATATATGTGTGTGTGTGTGTGTATATATATATATATATATATATATATATATATATTATTAAATTCTATTCTATAATTAAAGTTTAGTATGAAATTTATACTATTATCATTATTTAATTACTATATATGTGTGTGTATTGTAATTTATTAATTTGTTACTATTAATAGAAATATTTTAATACACAACATTTTTGTAATGTATATGTGTGTGTATGTGCTAGTCTGTGAATGGGTGCCTCACGAAGCACATGTAAGGGCGGCCGTTTTTCTCTACTACTGCCGAACCGAATTAATCAGAAATTACTTTGCAAGTTACTTGCTATTTATAGGGTAGGGTAGATTAAAAATGTAGGAAGCTGAATATCACTTCCTAACATCATATTATTACAGTAGTTAAAACAGCCAAACTTCAACGTTTTATCTGCAAAATGACACATGCAGTAGCTAATAATATTAACCCTCAGGTGCTCTTCGTTTCGGAGTCACACTTGTTATCTTCCCGGTCAAAAGTGACCGGACACCTAAAAATTAAACTTTCTCCATCCCAGTAAAACCAATGCAATTTATTTTTGTTCAGTTATATTTTTTCTTTTTAATTTTGTATTTTGAGTTAATTTGATGTTACTTATTAATATTTATGCAATATTTATGGTCCATTTTTGCCATTGAAAATAATACAAACTTTTTTTATATATACATTTTTTATTTTATTTTTTTTTTTAGCAGTATTTTAGGTTAAAATAGAGACTAGGCCTTCCAAAAAAAAATTTTGAAGGCAGATTAGCGCCATCTGGTAAGAGTATGGAGAGAAAGCGTAGAACCATGTTGTAACCACTAGATGAAATGTACAGTTCTTTATGGAGAGGCATGTGAATTCCCCAGCTGTTCATGGACACGTTTACTTATTTTTTTTTGTTATAGGTGGATTTCAACATATATTTAAACAATCTCAAAGACTATTTCTTATCAAGTTTTAGATTTTTAGTGATTTAAAGTTTTAGATTTAATAGTGATTTAAAGTGTTAGTTTTTGCATTATGATTACAGTCAAACCTAAACATTGTGTTAGAAAGAGAATGCTAGGAAGCAAATTTTATACACATTTTTTTTTATTCTGAATTTGTACAAAAAACAAACAAAAAAACAATGCAATTCATTCAATTATAACACTTTATGTAAAATAATATTTAATGAGCATGTCTATTTGTGTCACTGAACCGTAACAAATATATAGGTGTGTGTTTATTTGTGCGTGTGTGCGTCTGTTTGTGAGTGTGGGTGAGTGTCAATATCACAATCTTGATGTTTTAGAGTGTCACCCCTTCATTGTTGAGCACTTTTTTCTGCATCATGGCCAATTTGTAGATTGCAAATTGTAGTTTGAAGTTGTAGATTGTTGTTTTTGTCAATTTCCCATTCATTTCCTATGGGTCGGTCATGTTTGACAGAAGAGCAGAAGTGTATCTCATTTTTTTACGACCAATTAAAGTGCTCGAATCATGACCTCAATTTTTTTGTGTGTTCACATACATGTTGCCATAAAAGTCACGAAGTTTCGTAATTTTCTGATGAAGCAGTGATTTTTTTAGAAATTCAAAACAGATTTTTTAATCACAATTTATTGGTGTTTTTGTGTATAAAAGTGTGTGTGGGGGGGTGGGTATGTCTGTTTTGCACTCTTGATGTTTTAGAGTGTCACCCCTTCAATGCTGAGCACTTATTTTCTGCATCGTGGCCGATTTGTAGATTGTACACACAAAAATTCTCAAAGTTTTTGTGTTTTTGTCAATTTCCCATTCATTTCCTATGGTCGGTCATTTTTGACCGAAGAGCACAAGTGTGACTATTTTTTTTTACGACCACTTAGCATGCTCGGATCATGACCTCAAATTTTTTTGTGTGTTCACATACCCAATGGAATAAAAGTCACCAAGTTTCGTAACATTCCGATGAAGCTGTGATTTTTAACATTTCAAAACATACATTTTTTCGGTCAGAAATGACCGAAGAGCACCTGAGGGTTAAGAAATATGTTGGTGTAGGTAAAAAATGTAGGTAACGTTACAGTTAATACTTACAAACTTTGAAGATTTTGAATACAGAAGTTACATTTGTAATGGTGTAGCCTATTTTCATTTAGATGTGGTATTATTATTTGTGCAGTAGCTAAGATTAATTGCTGCATAAATTAAGATTATTAAGTAATAAATTCATTTTAAGTATAATACATTATTAGAAGAAAAGGTTCTATATAGAACCTTAAAAGGAAAAAAAAAACCTTAATTTGGAACCCCTAAAATGGAATGCATGTGAATGATCACAAAATTCAAGATATGGGGGTTAAAAAATGTAATTAATCAACATCACACGAAGAGTGACATCAGTTTTTATCCTCCAAAATCAGCATGATTAAAATGTGACATTAAGTTACTGCAACAATAATTTAATTACAACTACAAAATGTTGCAGAATAATGTAATATATGAATGAATAATAGCCTTTAAAGAACCTTTGTGCCAAAAGTGTTCTTTCTTGTCATCATTGAACCTTTTTTTTAGCATAAAATGTCCTTTGGAGTTGAGTAAAGAGCCCTATGCTACATATATAGAACCCTTTTTTTCTAAGAGTGTACAGTATGCTGTTAGCTAGAATGTGGATGGGATAGTATCATGAGCCACAATTAAAGTCTTGTGACACTCATGCCAGTCGTTGTTGTGGCGTTTCCGCACCGTTTGCTTTGGGCCGGGCCTAGTCAAAGTCCAGGGCCGTTTTTGAGTCCCACTCCGTCCCTGTATGGCACTCAAGGCCAGGCTAGATTGTGAATATAAGTGTGTGTGAGATTGTAAAATGATTTACGATTAAAGCAGGATAGATTCAGGAATATTTGCAGGCGTCCCCTGCTCTGTGTCTGAGGTGTTATTGGACCGTCTGTCTGAGCGCTCTTACCTCAGCGGTAGCTAACAAGCTGCTGAAACCATTCCTCACTCCCCGCCATGATGTCAGCGGCCTGGCGAGGGAGACGAGCGACCCGTTCGGAGATGAGAGGGATTAGGATGGGCCTGCGGGTTCGGGCAGAGCCAGGATGAGCACAGACGCGCCTCAAACGTCAACATTCACTGGCGCTCCGCGACGCGGATAAATCAATCACGGCCTTTTTTCTTTTTCCTCCTCCTAGATGGATTTCAGTTGTGTTTTTATGGCTTCTGGCAGCCGTGCTTTATTGTTAGCTGCTTCGGGATTTGTTGTCGTGTCCGTTTTGAGTTAGTTGTCATTTTGAACGCTGGACAAACACTTTCTAAATCTCTAGTATACGGAGAAAATGCGCATGTGATTCCAGTACTGTGTCGTTATAAAAATATTTCAATTCATAATGGAGGAAAGGTCTCTCTGGAGTGCAGTCTGTTGATCATTATCCGTATTTTGAGGTCCTTTAGATGCATAAATGCACGCCATAATCCCGAGTAGTCCCGCCATCTGACTGCTATTAACTGGAGGGGGATATAAATTACGTGAACGAAGCGAGCAGAAAGCATCATTTTAATAACACAAGCAGTCAATGGAAGCGGTGCGGCCAAATCCACACAAACCAAATGATATTCGTACAGTATGAAAATGTGGTTGAATTTGCCCATCTGATTTGAATGAGGTGACCCAGGTAACAATACCGGCCTTTCAGGCGCTGAATGGCAATGGGTTCCCAGAATGCATTGCAGCTGGCGTTGGAATAAGGCAGATAAGCTGGGGAAAGAGTGTAAAACTAGTGATAGATGGGGCTGGTTGCAGTTTAGGGGCAATATCTGCTCAGCCGTCCATAACAAAGAACTTCATAAAGCGCATATGCAAAACCACTACAGTGAGGGCTTGCTCTTTTGTCTAGCTATAAAATATATTAAAGCAGTCATAAAATGCCCTTTCCCACAGTAAAAAATGGCAGTTGACAACCTCCCAAGCATCGCAACCCTTCTCGCCCTGGGCCGGCCCAACTTTCCTTTGGTTTGTTTGGTGTGTGTGTGTGTGTGTGTGTTTAATAGAGATAATTTCTTCCATATCAATGGGTTGGGCGCTGATGACAAAGCACTAGTGTGAGTCTTTTGTCCCAGGTCTTTGTTCGCTCTCTGCATGCTGGCTTTTACAATTTTGCATTTGCTGATTTGGGTTTTGCAAGTCTTATTGTAAAAAGATTGTACAGCCGATGGTTGTAAAACAGGACTAATTTGTTGTAAATGTCAGGAAACGCAAGCAATTTTCTCGTCAGTGGTGTTTACTGGGTCAAGCATCACTAATACTAGTGCTTATGCTTTAGTATAAGTTGGTTCTTTTGCACTGTAAAAAATGTTTTTTTGGTTAAGTAAATACTAGTGAAAAACCCCAATGTAATTTACTTGAAAAAGTTAGTTCAGGCAAGAATTTAAAAAACTAAGTAAATTCCATATCAGTACTTATTTCAAGCGAGTATAAATGAAAGTGTAATATCAACTCAATAAAATTAAGTAAAAATTACTCAACTTTTCTGATACCCGGGTTCCCATCATGCACTGGACCTTGAATAATTAATGAGGTTCATTTTTCACTGGTTTCCAGCTGTATTTACACTGTTTTATCATTGATTTTTGTTGTCAGTATTATTAGTAAATTGCCATTTTGTGACATTTCGAGTAAATTTTTTGCTTAAAACGACACATTCAAACACAAAAACGATCCATCAAATGTTACCACCATTGTGTATTGTCTACCAAGTATTGAGGTGTTTGCATTCACATAAGGCTTAAAGTCTGACATGATGTATATATAAATTACTTAGATGATCTAAGTAAAGAACATACTATAAATGACTAATAAAATTCAAGATAATTGTTTTAGTGAAGTGTAATACAAAGGCAAAGGAAATCGGTATTAATCAACCTTTTACAAGCCGAGTTAAAATTACTTATTTTTTGTAAAGTTTACTTAATTCCACATTCCAAGTAAATTTAACTTAAAGATTTCTAATTAAAGCTACTGATAAATATGTTTAGGTTTTTACTTGGCAAATCTTTGTAAATTTACTAGCATTTTCTGAGTGAGATCGTTTAGCAAGGTTTTTTCAAGTAAATCCTACTCCAGATTTGATCGAATGTATTAATTACCATACACTAAAATCTCTTCTGCTCACCAAAGCTGCATTTATTTGATCAAAAATGCAATAAAAAAAGCAATATTGTGACGCATTATTACAATTTTAAAAAAACTGTTTTCTATCTGAATATATATTAAAATGTAATTTATTTCTGTGATCAAAGCTGTATTTTCAGCATCATTTCTCCAGTCTTTAGTTTCACATGACCCTTCAGAACTCACTTTAATATGATTATTTGCTGCTGGAGAAACATTTATGATTATTATTAATGTTGAAAACAGTCATGCTTTTTTCAGAATTCTTTGATGAAAGTTCAAAGGAACAGCATTTATCTGAAATATAATTAATATGGAAGAATATAAAAGTCTTCATTTTATATATTTCCTTAAATGAATAAAATAAAACTCACCTCAAGTTTTTGCATGGAAATCAAAGTATTAAACTTGCTAATAACTTTGGCATGTAACTCGTACTGCACCTTACTGAGTGTTCAATTTACACCTGAAAGACGATATAACGAGGACATTCCCACATTTAAGAGAAGAGACCAAATTTAGAAGTGTGAAGATTTGTCATCGTTTCCTAAAGACTTCAGAATTACAAGAATTTTGTTTACAGTCTTGCGAAACGAAAACGCTGCAATTACAACACGTGAAACCTACACTTACAGTTGTTGCGCTATAGTCAAACTGCAGTGTACGGCATGCGGTGAGGACGGCCTGAGGTTACACGACTGTGTACATATTTACATTTACGGATCTCAGATCAGAGCCTCAGACGGGCATTCCTCACTAATGATGTGGCCAGACCACATTATGAACTGAAGCTTGACTGTCATGAACTCGCTGCGATCCGCATGTTCTGCTTTAATCGATGCAGACCTCCTTTTCTGGAAACACATTTATTTGAGATTTGAGTGTTTTGAACTGATTGATTTAATTAATGAAGCAAAAAACACAAATTTCATCAGAGGTTGTACATGGCATTGATTTTACCATATATATATATATATATAAAGGGTCTCAAATATTTAGAAGTTGTGTCTGCTTAATGAATACACTTAATTAATTATTTTTTATTGAAAATCATTGTAAAATCAAAAGTACTTGTGGCTAGATGCTATATATTATATACTGTTGAAAATTCAGAAATATTACTACAATTTAAAATACCTGTTTTCTATGCGAATATATTGTAAAATGTAATTTATTCCTGTGATCAAAGCTGAATTAACAAAATTTAAATTAATTAAAACAAAATTGAAATGAATAAAACATAAAACAAAATTTAAATTAATAAAAACTAAATTTAAATTAATAAAACATAAAAACAAGATTTAAATAAAAACTAAATTAAATTCATAAAACATAAAAACGAAATTTAAATTAATACAAACGAAATTTAAATAAATAAAACCGATAATAAAAAACTAAGAACTTAAATATAGAAAAACAATTTAAATTAATAAACAAAATTTAAATTTAAAAAACGAAATTTAAATTAATAAAACATAAAAACAAAATGTATTTAATAAAAACGAAATTTAAATTAATAAAAAAAAAAATTTAAATTAATAAAAACTAAATTTAAATTAATAAAAACTAAATTTAAATAAAAACAATAAAAAAAAACTAATAATTGAAATATAGAAAAATGAAATTTAAATAAAGAAAAACTAAATTGTGATGCGATGTCCGAGTATAGTAATACCTGAGTATAATATAATAGTAAAGTATAATACCTGAGCCAAAGTCTGTCATCACAATGATTTTGTGTAATGATCTCCCAGAAGCATCTCACGTGATTGTGTTCCCGAACACAAGAGAATATGACGGCGTTCATTAGCGTTTAGTCATTTATGATTGAGGGAAAAAGAGGCACTTTTTTATTATCCATTTTTATAACGGATATTTTGCGCCAGTTTCCTAGGAAGTTACAATTTTGTGCTCTTGAACACATGGGATGGAAACGCTGCTTTATTCGCAAATTATAAACATCTTAAATGTCGCTTTTAATGTCATTTTGCTAAATATGTAACTTTTTTCCTTTCTGTAATAAACACCCAGCTCTAAGTGAGTTGTAACTGTGAGAAAAAAGACCGTTTGATGAAGAAATGTGGGAATTGAATGTCAGCATGAACATTGGGTGCATTTCATAAAACTGGAGTTTAAAATAAAAATGAATCTCTTGGGCGCTGTCCAGAAACACAACTACAAATTAGCCGAGCGGCTAAAAGAGATCAGAGCGTTTGGCCACAGGAAGTGCTTGTGCCTGAGATCCATACGCTCCCAAAAAACAAACTACACAACAACACACACAACACTGTGTGAGAAACTCTAGTGTTTCCCGATACAAACTATGGGAAGTGGATTCTTTTAAAGATTTAAGTTTGTAGTTTTTCAGCCATTTATAGACACAAAATAGCCGTATAATGAAATCAAAATTATGCTTGTTCTTTTATGATATTAATCTGTTTTAGCAAGCTTTCATTCAGGTCGGGCTCTTTTCCCACAAACACGGATAAATTCAAGCCCTTTTCCTTCTTGAATATCCTATTACACTCCGAAATGCCACTTTATTGTAGTAAAATGGATTGCAAATGCTGTTTCTTGTTGACGTTAAGGTCTCATTCCTGTCATCCTTTGGGACACATTACAGTCTCCAAGTGCCATTACTGTCCTATAAAATGGACTTTTAACATTCATGCTGCTTTTCCCCTCTATAAAGGCGAATATTACCCTCATTTCCATCTTATTTATGGTCACAGTCCATACTTGAGCGTCTACAGGAAAGTCTCGGTGTCCCCTGCATCACACACACACACACACACATCGGCGTGTGTGTGCTCCAGACAGGCCTCTCTGACCGCCAGCGGGTGTCCGCCACAGAGCCCGTCCCTCCTGCTATATCTGTCGCCATACAGCTCAATACTTAAAAAGTGATTATGGCTTTTGGAGTTCTTACACTCCACCCTCCGGCCTGGCCCGTTTCCCCCGTGTTGTTTTTCCTGCGTTTATGAAGCATGCAGGTATAAAAGTTGAAATGAGATTTTACGGCAGATTGGCTGATACGAGGATGGGGTTTCCCTTCTGTAAAGTGAAACAGAGCCGTTTGCTGTTAGATAAGACGATTTTTTAAGTCAATTTAAAGATGAATAATATGTCAAGTGTTAATAAATGGCATTATGCCATCCATAAAATAAATATATTTTATTTAGACTTAAAATTGTATGCATTCATTACCTTAAGGATGGTAACGTTTTACAGTTTATAAAACGACATGGTGCTTCTTGGAAAAGCAATTTAACATTGATTTTTTAATTATTTTATTTATAAATAATATTTATTATAATATTATATTTTATAATAATAAATAATATTTATAAAATTATTATAATAATATATTTATAATATTTATAATATTATAATAATTATAATATTATATTATTATTATATTATATAATTATAATATTTATAATATTATTATACTTATAATAATAAATAATATTTAATATAATATTATTATATAATATTTATTTTATTATTTTATTTATAAATAATATTTATTATTATATTTTATAATAATAAATAATATTTATAATATTATTATATTATAATATTTATAATATTATTATAATTATAATAATAAATAATATTTTATAATATTTAATGTAGTATTATTATATTTAGTTATATTATTTTTATTATTTTATTATAGTGTCTTGCACTAACATGCCCAGCCCAAATAGGCTCAAAAGACACTAATGACATAAAACAAACATAATACAAAAACAAGATGACCATCATACAAAGCACACAGCAAGATGACCATCATAAAAGATACATTACCATCAGTTGTGTTTCTGATTAAACTAAATTGAACTTTTCAATTATA